TCCTCCTCCTCGTCTCCTCCTCCTCGTCCTGCTCCAAAAAGACAACTGCAATTTGATTCCATCAGAAACAGAATAGCTACTTTTTCTCCTTCTTCTTCTTGTTATCCATATTTTTTACATTCCCATTAACATATTGTTTTGCTTGCAACAGCATGTCATGTATTTTCCTCATGGTTTCTAATTCTTTTAGCATTGCCTGCGTGAGCATCTACGGTACAGATTGATAAGCTTAATTTGCGCCGTTACAGGAACAAGGAAAGGAGACACCGTGGCCGAGTGGTTAAGGCGACAGATTCGAAATCTGTTGGAGTTCCTCCGCGCAGGTTCGAGTCCTGTCGGTGTCGTTTTTTGTTGTGAAGTGGAGTTTTTCGCTCACGGTTTTATGCAACGACCTTTCACGATCCACAAGAACTCTGGCGGCGACGGCAGAGAACACGACGGAGTTGATGGGAACTACTAGTACTAATTAACTACCTTCGGTTTGTTTTGCTGTCGGTTTGATGCCCCATGGTGTCTAGCGTGGCGCAGGAAATTCTTTGTTTCGGCTTTGACCACCATCAAAAAAATGCCGCATCGATCTACACTGCTAGTACGAACTGTGTTGCGGATTGCCACACCCGTGCCGATTGGGCAGGAACAAAAGGAAATAGGCCGGGTCAACGGAGTTTCTCGGCGTGGCAAACAAACATTCGTGTTCAAAGACTATTTCATTGCACTAGACTGTTATTGCTTGGTTCGTTCTCGCTAACAAACAACTACGGTAGTTTTTGGTTTTTGCATTCGCAAGCCCGGCAGCGTTTTCGTTTGCGGCACGCGAGAGGCTCCCCGGCAGCTGCCGGGGAAGGCCTCGCTGCGCTGTTTCGGGTCCGGTCCGCTGCGCGAGAGGGACCGTCCGTGCAACGCAACGCAGTACAGTGCAGTGCTGTGCAACGCAGTGCGCTGGGTTCTTTTCGCTGTTTTGCCGCGCTGGGCTGCGCCGGTTCCATTCCATTCGATTCGGTTCGGTTCCGTTCACTCCCCCGCCTCCTTCCGGGCCCGCAGCTCGCTGCTGGACAGGTCGACCCGAAAGTCCGACTCGTCGATGACCGCAAACATCCGGGCCAGGGACCCTCGAAGGCCGGCCAGCTCCTCCCTTCCCGAGACGAACCTCGGGGCGTCTTGGTTTTTCCCCTGCTCGAGGCGTCCCCCGACGACAAAGGCCGCCCCCTCCTCCCCCAGCGCCTTTAGGGCGGCGTCCCGGCCCTCCAGCGACCGGCCCGGGTAGTACTTCGGGTCGAGGATCCGGACCAGCGTGTCGGTCCCGATGACGAAGCGGATCCTGGGGGAGCGGCCCGGGCCCTCCAGCCGGTCGAGGACCCCCTTCCGGAGGACCCTGATCTTTTCCCCGAAGAGGGGGGCCCGGGTCAGAACGATCCCCCATTGCTCCGGAAAGGCGCATGCGCCTTCGTCCCTCCCCGAAGCGAGGTCCAGAAAGGCCGAGACCCGCGCAACGACCTCCCCCGGATCGATGGCCGGCTTGTCCGCGTTGGTGAGGCTCAGCTCGAAGAGGACCGGCTTTTCGTTGTGCCTGCGGGGGTGGGCGTACGGCTCGAGGGCCTCGAGGGTCCGGACGGCGGCCCCCGCCAGGGAGAGGTGCCCGGCGTGGGGGGGATGGAAGCTCCCCGGGAAGACGAGGCACCCGTTGGGCAGGACCGGGAGGGACAGGGCCCGGATCCCGGAGGGCCGGTCGGGGTGGGCCCCTGCGTAGASCGGCAGCAGGACCACGGCGTCTTCTCCCCCTTCCACCACCCGCCGGGCGGCGGCTTCCACCACATCGGTCGGGTGGTCCCGCAACGGTCCAACRGCTTYYKCCCCCGAAGCGGAASGTTCCGRGGYMGGGCCGTCCATGGACAGCGGGGAGAGGCAGGGGGCCCACTCCCAGTTCTCGGTGATCCCGTCCCCGGCCGGCGTCTCGTAGTTCCTYKCMRCGGTGGCCAAGCCGGCCTTTGTTTCGGGRGGGCTTGSGGTCCCCATCCGTTCCGCCGCTTCCAGGACCAGGTGGCCGAGGACCAGCTCCTCCTCGAACCTCGAGCGGGGCTTGTTCATTTGGATGGCCAGGGTGAGGATCCATCCGTCGGCCGATGCCGCCACCACCGTTCCCCTGCCAAAGGGTCCGCTCGGGGGGGCGTTTTCGTTGTTGTTGTTGTTGTTGTTATTGGCACTGGCACTGTTACTGCTGCTGCTGCTTCCACGGGGGTTGCTGACCAGCACCGAGGCGCATCCGATCCCGACCACCCCCGGCATGGCCCTCAGGTCCGAGTCCATCGAGGCCAGTGCCAGTCCCTGCTCCAGGGCGGCCCTCGTGGCCATGCCCGCGGCGGTCCTCCCCCCGTAGGAAAAGGACCTGCCGGCCGTGTCCCTGTCGGGGACCCCGCAGGCGGAGAGAAAGGAGTGCCGGTCGTAGGTCGTCCGGCCCTCCGAGAGGACCGCCGAGGCCCCCGGGGTGGAAGCCAGCGCCGAGACGGCCGTGGAGCCCCCRCCCGCCACGAAAAAGCAGAGCTTGGAGCGGCCGGCCGTTCCGCGGACCAGCCGCTCCGCGCAGCCCATGAGGGAGTCCATGGTGTATTCGGGTTGTGTTTGTGTATGTGTTTGTGATTGTGTTTGTGTATGTGTTTGTGTTTTTGCGTTTGCTTCGTTTCCGTTTGCTTCGTTTCCGTTGTTTCCGGCGCTGGTTTCGGCCGGGGGAAAGAAGGAGAGCTCCCGCGAAAAGGGCATCGTGCCAAAGCCGGTGGAAGACAGTGCCAGGCCGGACGGGCGACGGAGCCGATTCGTGTGGATGTGGTTCTTGCTCTTGCTCTGGTGGTTGCAGTTGCTGCTGCTGCCAAGGCTTCCGAGCCCGGGCGTCGCTGTCGCTGTCGCTTTGGTTGTCGTTGCGATYCCCCGGAACCGAACGGAACGGGAACGGGTGGTTCTTGTTCCGCAGGGGGGGCAGCGGTGGCGGAAGGCTTGCGGTCCGGCCGAAACAGAAACAGAAACGGAACCGTAACGAGCGGAACCGAAAGAAAGCGGGGAGACCGAGAGTGCTAGCCGCCCGGTGTTTCCCGCGAGCGCTTGCAGGGCCGGCCGAAACGCGTGGGAGAGAGGGAGGATCGTGCACGTAGTGGTGATCAGACAGGCCGCGGCGATGCTCCTCGTCCTGGCGAACGCCATCGATGTGATGCGCGGCGGGCGTGTGTGTTGTTTTGCTTTGCTTCGCGTTGCTTTGTTTTACTTTCCAGTCACGGAGGCCTTGGTTTGTTGGTACGTGTCTTGCTGTTTTGTTTGGAATTGCGTGCTGTTGGTCAAACAAAAACACGCGTCTCGAAAAGATACGGTACGACGACTCTTGATGGCGGAAGGTTGCAGATGCGATGCGATGCGATGCGATGCGGATGCGGATGCGATGCGGATGCGGATGCGATGCGATGCGATGGGATGGGATGGGATGGATTTTGAGAACAATCCGTTCTTCGCGTGTTGAATTGCGACGACGACGGACTGTTGATGATGGCGATGCCCCGAACTGAACGCGGGGAGGGGTGAAAACCGAAGACGTGTTGGGGAGGAAGGAATCAATCCATCAAGAAATCTRCGTACTYGKWMC